ATAAGACCAGGGGCCTATTTCATAATAAAGTACAAACTACAAGTGTATAATTGAAAGTATAAGCTAAATATTGCCGTTATCACAAGTTCACAACTGGAAACAAGGTTAACTGTACTATGTTCATGATAGTGTAGCATTATTATGTGAAAATTAAGATCAAAAAATAATATTAAGCATGTAACTTAATTGCTGTTGAGACCAATTCATTCAATTTTTGACCCTGGTTAGATTGTATTTTAATAAGTTTGATAATCTTATCGATAAAAATAAAACATTTTCACAATGAAATCGGTAAATAATATCTCTGCTATCACTGTATTTAATTATTTTTAATTAAATGGGTGTTTTCTTTCCCATTTTTTAACAAAATAGAAGTATAATAAACAATAAGAAATGATGTGTTGTATTTCATTAGAGTGAACGAAACCGTCCTTAGGACATTTTATTATAATAAAAAGGAAAGTAATAATTAACGGACTAATCTGAACGGACCGTGCAATAAATATGAGTAACATTTAAAAATTTTTGATTCTCGTTTCTTTTTCGTACCTGAAAAGCCTTGTCTATAATGAAAAAATTATAATTATCTTTAGAGGTGTGTATTTTTAAATACAATTGTATTTTATTATTTCCTATGTCGAAATATATATTATTCGTGCTAATATTTTAACTATGTTTTAGTTTTGTTCTTAATTAAATAAATATACGGTGTCAGACGAGCCCAGCGGTGAGTTAAAGCATCTGATACTATCACAGCCCTGAATTCGTGTATTCAATAAAAGCAGTGGGCTTACATAACTTAGATTTTGAATTTTTTTTCTCAATAAAACGAGTATTAGATCATATGTACAAACGTACAAAATACAAGGACTAATACTTTTTGTTTCATAATGCCAACTATCTCACTAATACTATTGTACCATTTTTTGGGGGAGAAGGAGGGAGAAGGGGCTTCAGCCACCTCTTTTCTCCCCCCCCCTTTTCTCCCTCCGTAGATCTGCCTATGACTGCAGTTAGCTATACCATGCTATGAATGCATGCTAAATATGAATAAACTTGTAAAGTTCTTAGGACATAAAATGATAGGTTAGAGCACCATTTATTTAACCTCATAACTAGAAAGAAATGAAAGAAAAAATTATTTGATCATTCTGATTAAATATTCTTTAATACAAGTATTTTACTCTCACGTTCGTTTATTTTCTGTTGAATTCATGACGTGGCATCTCAGACATGTACAACTTTAAATTTGAACTTCATGATAACCAAAGCTCGTTCTCTTTTGTCAACTAGGTTTCGGTCCCATGTTATAACTTCTTCAGGTGAGACTTTTTGGTTCGTGGTACAAGCCAAGACAAAACAAAAAAAAAAAAAAAAAAACTGGAAACAACAAAATAATCTTTTTTTTCATTTTAGAATAAATTATACTATTTCGAAGCACTCGTGATTCATGAACACTTGTAGACAAATTTTACTCTCACGTTGCTGCAGAGCTGCAAAAATACTCATAGTTAATCGAATAGGTTCTATGCCGATCTAGAAATGCAGCTTCGTTTTCACCTGCAGCATCTACACGGTGGGCCAGACCCCCTTACCGTGCACTCCCTCCCCTCCCACATCCCTATAAATTGCATATCGTTGTGTTCCTTGTAACTATTTATTTAAAAAAAGCCAATGTTCCCAAGAAAAAAGTGAACACACTGCCCCAAAATGGCGTCCAAAGATGGCGGATTGACGACTTTGACTTTAGTTAGTTTTTTGGTCACTGAGAATCAGAGTCTTTTATTAAAGCTAAATAGTCATAGAATAATAAACCATGAAGAAATATTTAAAAATAATTGGCTTAGACTATGAAAAATACTACTAAAGTCAATTTTTTTAACAAAAAAATTTTCAAGTTAAAAATCAAGCGTCATTTGTAATTAAACGGCCTACAATAACGCAAAACTTGCTGAAATAGACAATCTGGAGAATGTATTTTTCTTTCCAAAACGCTGATTATTTTTTAAAAACTTTTAAACAGTTCCGTAGAAAATGCACTTATGCGGCAGAAAAGCGGTACTGGCGTGGGTGCCTACAGGCCTCTACCACACCATTCAGTACACATAAATGGCTTAGTTAAAGTGATATAATAACATTTTTGGTACGTTATATTGGTTTTATTAACGAACAAATATTAATGCAATAATTTAATTGTAAAAAAAAATTAAAAATTTTTTAAAAAATTTATTATTTTTTTTTTTAACCTTCTTTATTCTACACGTAGGTCGTTTAAGAAGACCTTGATTGTAAAAATGATATAATTATAATAATAAAACTTAATTAAAAAACTTTGTTAAATATCTTGATTTTCTTATTATTTAACGTTTGCAATTTAACACTGTGTTTTGTATATTTACTGATTCTTAAAGGTAATTAAAATTTATATATACTTCCCAGGAAATGAGTCGTATTAATTCCTGTTTTATAAACTAAAATAATATATACCTAATCTGAACTATATATAATGAATAGCGGCTGGGTTGTATAGTAAAACTCATATATCACTAATTAAAAAAATAATTTTTATTTCCTTTATTTTGTTCGGAAGTTGTACTATATCATAAATAAATAGGAAATTTTATTATTGAATGAATTATTCTCTCTGCACAAAGAAAGATAGAAAGGGGGACGCTATAAGTTCTTCTATAAACCAGAACTGATTGTTTGGATTTGGTCTTAAATGAGGAAAAACGCGAAATTGAACTCGAAAACTGGAAAAATACATTAAGCGAACGAGAAAGGAAGTGCCAAAACCTCGGAAAAGATAAAAATTACCAGTATCCATTATATGGCTAAACGAATGTATAGTAGTAGACAGATGAAGAGAATATTTCAAGATGCTGCTAAAAGGTGGTCAATTGCAGTTTGGATGATATTAAGTGGACGATGTGGGTTTATTATGGTGAAAACCACTTTATTTTCGATTGCTGAAGGTGCACACCGGGACTATCTTCACTTTGAAGCAGGATATAGAGATGTATATCGAGAAAGTTATAGCTCATAGCTCTCCTTCTGTCTAGTGCATTTGCAAACGATTTTTTAAGGAATCTAAAAGGAAAACCTGCTTTTCTGAAAGACAATTAGATATTAGCACAATCCAAAGAGTAAGGCACTAAGCAGATAGAGAGATATTTTTCGTTGTATATAGACTTCTCTATAACCTGCCTTAAAGTGAAGCCAGTCTCAATTTTCAACTTCTTTTCCAATGTGCAACTTGAGTTTCTCAATCGACAATATTTCTTATTCCAGCTTCTACGATTCTTGAGTATAATTTCTTTGGTACACTAAACAGGAATGGATCTTGTTGGGTAATACATTTCCTAGTATCTCCTTTCTTGTAAGGATAAAAACCACAGTCCTTTCATATTATTTTCTAACATACTTGTTGCCTATGTATGCGCTAAACTGTGCGAAGCAGTTCGGTTTCGTCCTTTCCATCTTTCTTTGTGCAGAGAGAATAATGCATTCAATATTCAATTAATTCAAGATTCAGCGAAACTCCTTCCACAAAAATATTATTTCAGTTTTTGTGTCGCTTAAGTCCGAAAGTTCTCCCATCACCATAGATTTCCTAATGCCTCACAATATTTGTTCTTATTTTGAAGCGACTGCTGTTACAGAAGGTCTTGACCCCACATGGGTTGTAGCGCCAAAAAAGAAGAAGAAGAAGAAGATACCTTCGAAAGAGAGAGAGGGATTTTCTGTTTGGACTTGTCATACACTGGTCTATTTCCAACCGTTAGTCATTCTATTAAAAATAATATACGTCTTATTTAAGCAATAAACCATTATTAAAACAAATACATTTACATTAAATTTTTATTATGATGTGGCTTATGTTTTATATATAAAAATACAGGACCTTCGCCTGTGTTGGAGACCGGGTTCGTTTATCAAGTAAATAGAGTAAGATTAAAACAAAATATCTACTGATATTAGGACACCGATTCTTCTTTGAAGGGAAAAAAACAAAAATTTAATGGTATTGTACAATATAGAGTTATTCCGTTGTGTCGTCTTGAATGTATACAAACTACATTTTATATTTTTTTGGTATTTATTAAACAGTTTTTGGTATTTAAAACTTGAGACATCTTTATCGCATATATATTCACGGTTTGTTTTATTGCTTTTATTTGAAAGGTGATCAATTTGTAAAATTTTAGATCAAAGGTCCCGCAGTGTGCAATCCTTCCGCCTACCAAATTGATGAAGGGGTATCATCAGAGATCATTCTCCAGTCTTCATTACTTCTAACAACACCATTTTCAGGTACTACTTGAAATTGATAGATCCTGTTAAATATAATGAACCTCTTAAATTAAAGTTGATAACTTATTGAAAAAAAAATATCGCCGATTACCTAGGTGGAAAATACCATTGAGGATTAAAATTGTTTAATATCATGTTAATCATTGGATATGCGATATGTTCTTCTTACAAACATAAGTTCCTAACGAGGAAGCAAATAGCATGGAGGGAAAACTCCAAAACGAAATCGTTGCGACCAATTTGGCAGTGTCCTTCCCACAAACTCACTCAAAAGACGAGGACCTATATGTCATTCCCTAAAACATACTACATCTCCTGGCCGAAGAAAACACCCGTATGGCCAAAACGGCGAGGTAGGGGAGAACGAAAAAAAAAATGATCTCCCGGTTGTATTGGGAGCGGGGAAGTGCAAAACACGTGTTGTCCGGCAAACTGATAAAAGGAATTTTACATGATAAAATATTTACGAGTTCTCTTCCACACCCGTGGACAGAGAAAAATCCCGTATAGCCTTAAAGACGAGAAATGGGTGGATAACAAAAAACCTCTTACTTGTTACTAGCTCATGGGAAAATCTGGGATTAGTACTTTTAAAAATTGAGACACTTCCTAATAATTATACTGCTATTCGTTTTTCTATATTAAAGAGTCATTAAAAACTCAACAAATAATTACTCACAACTTACGCTCAGATTATTTTTGAGGTCATTTATGAATTTCATGAATGCTTGCGTTTCTGGTTCTGAGTGAGGGCTCTTTCCAGGGTAAATATCTGAACAGGGGTTGCTGTTTGTCCCTTTGCCACCAAATCCAACATCGAAATTCCTATTTATGTCTGCACCAAAACCACAGTCATTCTTACTTCTATTCTTCCTCCATAATCGTTTTTTTAGGTAGGAATATTCGTATCCGTCAGGATTGAAAGTAGGAAGAACATAGAAGTCAAGGGATAACAGTGCTTTTGGCAATTTCTTGCGATTTACTACGAGTTGCTTAATTATAAAGGTGGCCGCTGCGGGAGCAACCCATTCCCTAGCGTGAATACCTGTTGAAAGGAGCGTTCAATGTGAATCTAATGGTACTGATTGTTAATTATGTTTTTTTCAAAATTCATATTAAAACACTTACCTGCGTCAATAACGAATACCTTCGCATTCTCTTTTCCTGAAGAAATTTTGATATATTTGAGAGGTTTTTTCTGGGACGAGTAACCCATAATTCCGACGGTGGCTATTTCAGGATACTTGCTGGCCAAGTGATCCAAGTAAGCATGAATTGCCTCGACTGTTTGGTAGTGTCTGAATGTGGGGATCATAATATCTGTAAAAGAGGAATATTGATTACATAGTGGTTTGGCTTGAGAAGGTTAGGTGAATAGAAGACTGAACTCACTGTTCAACTAAAAAGAACTTTCATTGTTTTAAGACACTTTGGGCTACAGTAGTTCAAGTATTTCAGAAAATAACTATTTTTCCTTTCATGAAGTGCAACCAACAAAAGGTCATACAATAGTGTGAGATTCCTACTCACTAAAAAAAACCTCCTAATTCTTCTTTACCACCCCACGGAACTGCTGACAGCATTACTTCGAGAGGGGCAGAAGGGCTATATGCCTACTTCTTCTTTGGAAATCTTAGTACTGCTAAGCCATTACCTGGCTTCTCTTTTCTGGCTCCTGAGCTCTAAGTCTTCTGCCGATTTACGCTGCAAGGTCTGCGGAGCACTACAATTCTCCTGCTTAGTCATCATCAAAGCGACTAAGTTTTCTGGGGATGAATTTGTTTCGAAAAATCCGAAAAAAGTGTTGTGTGTGTGTGTGTGTGTGAACAGCCTAGCTCAAAAACGAAAGGTCGTACGAAACTGATATTACGGATTTAAGATAGGTATATACACCGTGTCACTTTATAGCATATATAATTATATATCAATACACCGAATTTAATTAAAATTATTAGGGCGGTTTTAGAGAAAATCGTAAAAACATGAAAAATCGATGATTTTCAGAAAAATGTTGCTCTAACATCCCAGGCATGTACCTATCTTTAATACGTAATACCATTTCGGTGTGACTTCTCGTTTTTGAACTGGGCTGTTCACATGCACATACTGAGCATTTAGCAGAACTTGGTTATTTGGACTCAGTGGACCTCAAAACGTGTATTTTTGTTGAAAACTCATATTCGAAAAAAAACTGTCACGATAACTTAAAAAGTTTTCCTTTATATATATATATATATATATATATATATATAAATAAAAAAAATGTTTTCCTTTATATATATATATATATATATATAGGATATATATATATATATATATATATATATATATATATATATATATATATATATATATATATATATATATATAAATAATAAAAGGCTTAACGAGCCTGAAGGTTCGATGCTGACACCAGCAATCGCTTATTAAACACCTCCCTCCATCGTTCGCCGTCCACACCTAGTCCCTTCAGATCGGTTTTAATGCAATCTTCCCAAATTCGCTTCGGTCTACCCCTCGGACGTTTACCATTCCGTATAGCTAATATTAACCTTTTAGGAATCTCCTCGTTACTAAGCCCAACAATGTTAAAAGACCATTTGATTCGCCGGGATGAAACCACCTCAATTATATTACGCGGATACAGTTCACGCAATTCTGCGTTGTGTTGTATGTTTATGAATATTCTTATGTTTAAACGTAGTACTTTTAATTATCAGGTTTTTCGAGATCGCAAAGTTTATCATGAATTTATCTTTGCACACTTGCATTACCAATCGTTGGAACATAAACTTCTTCCCTTCCAACCTTTGCGTTCGCGTCACCTACAATTATTTTCATGGAGTTTCGCCGTAGTTTATCATAAACCCGTTCGAGTTTATCGTAAAATTCACATTTCACTTTTTCGTCACTGTTTTCAGTCTGACAATGTATGTTTATTAATGCGATTTTTAACCAACGTCCCTGTAATATAGCTACCGAAATTCTTTTACTAAAGAATTGTACGTCCCTCAAGGCGGGTAGCAATCTATTACTAATTAGAAACCCGGTACCTAAACAATGACTCCCGCTTCCTCCGTACCAAATAGTGTACTTTCCTTCCCTCATCGAGCCCTCCCCTGGCCAGCGAACCTCTATAGCCACGACATCCAAATTGTACCCATTAACCTCATTCGCGACCGATTTTAATCCCCCAGCTGTTTTTAAACTCCTTATGTCACACGTACCAATATTTAAATCACTATTTTTCAACTTGTGCTATGAATCCCCTAAAGCAGTCCCCACCCGGAAACCCGAAAGGGGGACTAGTTTACATCCGGATAATGAGCGTTTTATCTTAGGGAGTTCCATGACTATTTGTATACCATGAATATATATATATATGAATATATATTCTCATGAGGCGGTGCAGGTACAGGCGGGAGGAGTGCCTCTCGAACTCCTCCTGCGAGAAGATATGTTCAGGTACATATATAAGAAGGAAGGTTCAGCAGGTGAAACCACAAAGAGAGAATCGAAGAAACCCCTAGAAAATGGAAATCTATTATCCGTGAGGATACAATTAAAGTGTGGAATCAACGGTGGGTGACAAGCCCGAAAGGGGTCACTCTAAAGAAGTACTTCCCCACCGTTCAATCACGTATGGAAGCCAAGCGGGTCCTCCCGGATTACTGGCTCGCAATTCCTTACTGGGCATGGGGGCTTTCGAGACAAGCTCCATGGATTTGGAAAAGATACCGATCTCCTATGCCCTAGCTGTGGGATCTCGGAGACTGCTGAGCACATTATTACAAACTGTATCGCCTTTGAGTCGCTAAGAGCCAAATTGGTGAGGGAGACTGGTCTCTACGTTCTCACAGAGTCCTATTTCCCTCAGAAAACTACCCGTACTACATAGAATTTGTGTACGGGTGGAAAGAAGGCATTGGACCCGTACACTTCAACCTCACAAGGAGAGGACCCGCGATAGGGAGGCAGCCGGATCAAGGAGGAGCAGAATAAGGACATAGAAAACAAATTTAAGAATGAAAATTGGTCTCGTTGCAGAAGCAGGCTGTTATGCAGTGACGTATAACTGCCCAGATCTGCAAAACCCGTATTGTCTCAATGGCACGGTAGGTTTCAAATAAATAAATATATATTTAGATAAGTTAAACTAAAAATAAAATAATACTTTTTAAACGTCGCATAGTAGTTTCGTTGAGTGGAACGTTATTATTCCGGATCGTTGTCGCCAAATTTGTGTCCATCACAGTATAAATTATTTCTTGTGAATATAGTAACAGCTTAACTTCCTCTACTTTGTCTTTTTCTACTAATACATCATGAAATGTACTGTTCGATCTCCATAAATCCAAGTCTGGAAAAAAAATAAATAAAATAAGAAGCTTTATCTCACCGAAAATAAAATTATATAAAGTATTTGTAATGAGTAAAATTTTAATATACTATTGCAGAATCTATAGATAAATAATTCAAGTTTAATAAATATTACAATACCCAACGAGTATCTAAACCTAACAATTTGATCAAGTGGTATGTAGATAACCACAGTCAACTAATAACGCTAACTTATACCAACTTTGTCAAAATCTGAGACAGATTAATATAAATGGCCTTGCAGCTTGGAAATGAATTCTCTAAGAAAAAAAAATCTCACAATAAATTTCGATTCCGATCGTAATCAGATTACACTCAACTCAGATTACACAGATTAAAAAATCACATCACGTCGGAGACCAAATAGTTAGTAACTTCCTGCTTGAAAGAACTTCCCAATGCATGAAATGCCCAACGGCAGCAATTTTAAAAAAATAAAACCACTTTCTCATGAGAAATATACAAATTATTATCGTGACCAGTTTTATGAATTGCATGGATTCTTCTTGCATGTTTTATGAAATCGTATTCTCTGGTGACCTCAAGAGCTACAAAAAAGCTTATATAAACAATGGCCCAATTTTGAGCATAAAAACAGGAAATTCAAGTTTTGTGTTTTTTTTTTAACTTGTCACGTTTTATAAGTCAGTTAAGGGTTTCAAACCCCGAATTAATTAAGCTCTATACGAAAAACAAAAGTTTCTACTTCAAAGCCCAGGAAAGCTGCACTTTCTGTAACCAATTCATTTCTAACAGCCTGTTCCGTATCCTTCTGTACTGTAAAAAGCTAACAGACGACAGACACAAACATTTACGTGCATTTCTCTCTGCGCCAAGTGATGTAAACAAGATACAAGACATACTTCGAATCGATAACAGAAACTTAACAAGATTTACTGGTTCATAATGTCAGCGTGCAATTCACTGGATTCCTTAAGCTCTGATGTTCCACACACAAACCAAATGCTATGACTAAGGATACTTGTTGGTCAGTTCAATTAATTCTTTGTTTGTTTTTCTTATGGTTTTATTGATAATGTAGATAGAAATTAATTGGAATGTAATGAAGTATTATTGTTTTTATAATAAGTCAATGTACAGTTATGATAAATTAGACTCATGTTGGTGAAATAAAGTTATTCATATATGTATGATTTGTACAAGATTGTAAAATAAACATCATCATCATCATCATGTGTGGCACGACATCCCGTTACCGAGACTGGGCCTCCTCCAAGAGCCTCCGCCAGTTGGCTCTGTCTTCTGCTGCAGCTCTCCAGTTCCGTACACCAAGCAGGGTTCTCGCATCATAGGCCACGTTGTCCAACCACCTCGTCCTCGGCCTTCCTACCCATCTTGCGAGGTGCAGCTTCTCCATCATTATTTTCTTGGGTATCTCAACGGTGCTCATTCTGGCCACATGCCCTGCCCACCTTAGTCTGGCCAGTTTAATATAGGTGACTACGTCGATGTCTGCATAGAGAGAACAAGCTCCCTATTTTTTCTTTTCCTCCAGACATCACCCTCCTTTACTGGACCATAAATCCTTCTGAGGACTCCTCGTTCAAACACACTCAGCTTCATCTCATCGTTTTTGGTCATCGTCCAAGCCTCTGAGCCATATGTCAAAATAGGCCGAACAAGAGTCTTGTATATGATCAGCTTGGTCTTCTTTGAGAGGTAAAATAAACAAGTAAATTCAATTCAATTCAACTTGTCACGTTTTTGTTGAATAAAAAGCGATAACTATAAAAATATTTAATTTGAGTTATTAATAACTACTCCACAGTAAGCCCTACAAAATTTACTTTGATTATTTTTTAAAAAGTCCATATTAATTAAAACATTCATAATCTTAATAATTACATTTCCATGAAAATAATTCAATCAATCGGGTTTCTTTATTTTAAACGTAAATCTTAAGATTAGAAACGTTTAGTTGGTTACTTAAACATTACTGTTGGTACATTAAAAACTGTACCACCAATAAACTATAATGGGTCTTGGGTTCAGAACAATGTGAGGAAGTACTGTTACAACGCCAACGGTTTTGCAGTGAGGTGATGGGGCCAATATCACGCTAAACCGTCAGGTTTTCTCCCTTAATCAATAGACGTGGTTGAGAGTGCAGGGATCTCCTGGAATTATGCTTTTCTCTCCACAATTGGAGGGACAAGTCTGGCTCAGACTCTTCTCTCGCCAGATTGTAAATAGTGTATATAGGTAGGTATGTGTTCTTTTTATTTATTTATTTTTTTGGTTATTTTATTCTTATTTATTGTATATATATTATTTTTCTGTAATACATATTTTTCTGTAATAGTTTATTTTGAATGTGAACTCTGAATACTATTATAAATGTCCTTTGAGAAAGATTGTAATATTTTTCAATAAAAAAATAAAATAAATAATATGAGTACCCACTTTATAGAAGCTGGGTTTGTTGCCCACGGAGCTGATCCACGGCTGATGAAAAATTACTAGTTATCAGCCGGATTCGAATCCGGGACCTTGAACTATGGAAGTCACCGCTAATCCACTGAGTTACTCTCCCCCCTCCAAAAAATATATATATATATATATATATCAATTTCTACATTAGAAATCTTAGTAAAAAAAAAACTTTACCAAGATTTTACGTGAATCTTAGTATCAAATACGTGATTGGCGATACGTGAATTTTATTACCACTTCTGATGATAAATATTTAAAAAAACAAAAAACATTATTTTTAATATTTATTTTTTTAATTAATAAAAATTGCATTTCTGCATTTACCTATATATTTATTTAGTATACCATCACAAGCCACGAAAAAAAGATAAAAATCAAAGCACTGTAATAATTTATTGTAGCCATTTTTTCTGAAATTACGATGATTCTAGTAATTTTAGGTGACTGGAAATCAAATTACATAATTTTTTTTTTTTTCAAAACTTGAGGTACATCTAAAAATCGTTTATAATAAACCGCAACTTAATTAATATGGGCTTGAAGGTTATTAAACGATCGGGTTTGTCTAAAAGTGGGGTGTCTGTAGTGTAGTTGGTGGATGATTTATTATGGCAAATTATTAATGATTATTTTTTAAACTGAACTTAGTTTACTTTAGCCGCTCAAAAGTCCTCTTTAAATGGATTTAACGGTGACAAACTTACTTATGCTTGTATTACATTTTGTCTACCTTAGATTGAAGAAATCTTTAATTACTTAAATTAAATATTTTTTAGTTATCGCTTCTTATTCTACAAGAAATGTGATGCTTAAAAAAAAACAACTTGAATTTCCTACTTTTCTGCTCAAAATCGGGCCATTGCTTATATATATATATATATATATATTCATATATAAAATATATGAATATATATATATACATTTTTTTTTTCAGTTGGCTCTACAGACCTTGTAGATCTTTGGCCGCCTGAACATCTTTGGCCTTCTCGACATCTGCCTATCTTGGGCTATTGCTTTCCAGTTTGCGGCTTAAAGCTCAGCCGTATCTTTGTTTATCCTATCTATCCATCTGGTTTTTGGCCTCCCACCAGACCTACTACTCTGGTATTCATATATATAAATATAATCTTATTATAAAACAAAAGATGAAACACAATAATTCATTTAATTATAATTTACATATACAGAGTATCCCAAAAGTTGTGGAAAAAATTTAAAGGGGTGGTCAACAAAAATGTATATATATATATATATATATATATATATATTTATAATTTTTTGTAGCTCTTGAGATATACTATCACCCCTTTAAATATTTCCCACAACTTAGGGGATACTCTGTATATGTAAATTATAATTAAAAAAAAACTGTGTTTCATCTTTTATTTTATAAGAAGATTATATATATATATTATATAAATTGTAAATAACTATGTTATTAATTATTTTACCTTTTTTGTTTTCTTTTCTTTTAATTAAAATAACCAGATAATCATAAATTGGTTGTTTTCTTTGTTTTCTATAAATATCACTGTAATCCCATTTTTTATAACCAATATGTTATTGTATTGTTTGTTATTGATACACAGATATCACGATTTTAAAATTCACTACTATTAGTGCAAAAAGTCGTATATAAAAAAACCTATTATTTATTTAGTATTTATTAGAATAATGCCATATTTTATTTCCCTCTGTTATTTTCCTATTAACTGCTTAACGTAGTTGCAGACTACAAATGTCTTACAGACTACATACTTTCTGCATTAACAGTAGCAAAGTTTTGAAATGATGAGAAAAAAAAAAATGGGCAGGCAAACAAAAAAGGTTTGTGTCTAATTAATTTTCTAAATACGTATTTAAAAAATCGTTTCCATAGATAATTATAATTATTTTTTTAAGTTAGTATACACTGCAATACTTTATAATAAAATAGCAAACATACTTTTCTCCTTCAGCATATTCGTTACAAATGGAGATCTTTCTATTTTAAAAAGCTGTGCTCCCTCATATTCAGAAGCGTTATCTTCATATATACTTTCAGACGAGACGGAAACTAGAATTAACGACGACTGCACTATTGCCAACAGTATTTTCATTATAGATATTCTCATAACACCGTTTGTTTTTTACCTACCGCCAGGAACACCTGACTTCTAGACCGACTGCTAGAGAACTGGTGGCATCGAATGGGTGAGAGAAATTTAAAAGTTAATGTTCCTTTTTATATCTCAAGCTATTGTAATAATTTTATGAGGTATCCTTATAGCCTTCGATGGCATTAGTATACAGAAAATTGTCGTTGATTGATTACTGGCTCGTCATCACTGAGACATATAAACAAAAAGATTTAAAAGATTAACATCATCTACATATTGCAATATTTCATTCGAACAAGTATCTCTCAATTCGTTTAAACAAATAAATGCATTTTATTTTTGTAAGATTCATATGTTGAACCATTGGTGACCAGTTGCGGAATTAACCTGAGCGGATTGGAGTGGACTCCACAGCCGAAACGAACCTATTTGACTGGAGCGGTGGAAATTGAGTTTAGCGGATTTAAGATAAGTACGAAATAGTAAGTAAAGTCAGCTTTACATAATGATATAAACGTTTTTCCAAACCTCAATCCAAGTATATGTCAAACGGTTCATTAATATTTGACAAGAACTTCGTCAAATCTACGATTGTAAAGAACATTTAAAAAAAATATATTAATAATAATATAAACACACCTATATATTTTATGCATAGAAATATTTTATTCTTCTCCAAACCAATTGCCCATTTGATTTGATTTAATTTGATGGCTTAAAATTATTTGTTGAGTGGATCAGCTGATGCGAAGGTTGCGTTCCCAACTCGTCTCTCAGTTTTTGCCTATTTTTCAGCGGAATCTCTCTGATTATTCACTAGTTATGGAATGGACTTAATCGGTAACAAATAATAATAATAATAATATTAATTTAACTTTTATTTTATTTAATATGCCAATTGGTGAATCACGTATTCTATTGACCTTTCTCAGGACACAAACGATAAAAGTACAAAGCATCCCTAGATAGCCAGGTCAAGATATCTCTGATAGCTTAGAAATAGGTATCTAGAATGTACTGGCTGGACACAAAACCCATTATCAAGACTTAGGGAACAATAACCGATTTCAGCAAACGGGCACTTTCTCACAGACCTCATCTTAAGAATATCAACTATCAATAACTTCCTTTGACGTCCACATTCAGTAAATGTGAACAAAAGAATATAATAGCATGAAATCATTTTCTGAGAAACTACCCACTGATAGCACTCTAAAAATGTATTTAGAAAAGGAGATCTCGAGGCTATCTTCTTTTCAGACGTCTCGGAGGGGAAGAGTATCTAAAGTAACATTACACGCACAAAACCTACTACGTTGTCCACATTTGGTTCGGAAATAAGAATAAACCATCCACGCACATTTAATACGCGATTTATACGCCCAGGTTCCATTAAATATTATTTTAGGGACGAAAAAAAGGTGATATTCATTTTTCGTTATACGAAAAAATCCCTAGATAAGAATTTTCATTCTAATCGAAAGCTGAAATCTTCTATTAATAAATCTTATGAGATACATGTTTATAATTTTATTGTATTATATATTTATATCTTTATTGTAGATATTGTACCCGTTGAAAACAACGAAATATTGAGCAAAATGTATATATTCTTTTACGATTGCAATAACAATTCTATTAATACTTCGGTGATTATAACGGTTATAAAAAAGGTTTTAACAGAGATTGCTTTTTTTTCGAAAATCACAAAAATTGTAGTAACTTGAACATAATCTATGAAAAAAAATATATATTTACAGCTATAATATGAGCACAATGTGGAAAAAGATTAAACCGACCTTTGGGGGTTCGAATATTATTTAAGAAGAAAAAAAATTAATATTTTTTTTTTAACGACTCAGTTCTGATTATGGACGATGAAAGTCTATGTCCTCGGTATTCCAAATTTCTTCATGGCTTCCCAGATTTTCTTTCGTGACACAATGTCAAAAGGCTTTTCGAAATCTGTATAAGTAAGACATAGAGCCGCCTGGAACTCCGAAAACTATTCTACAATTAAAGGAACAGTAACTACAATAATTTGCCATTAACACCCTCCTTGATCCTAGGCAGGATAATATAACAGTATCTTGCTGGGAACCGATATTAGTATTATTCCTCGTCAGTTTGAATATTCCGTCAGATTGCCTTTCTTGGGAAGTTTAGTACGAGTAGCCCCTGCTTCCAATCTTCTGGGATGTGCTCGTCATTTCCCCTACGTCATTTCTGGAGGAACTATCCCTCCAGAAATGACGTAGGGGAAACTCTTAATACTTAATACGAACTCTTAAAAAATTAATACATTAAATAAATAAAATAGCTAATAAATAAAATTTTGGTGAATAATGGCCTAATTTATGTAACAAATATAAATTTTTTGTTCAAAATTTTCGCCTAGGCTGGAATCTTAAACTTTTCTAAAATTTAAAAATCTCTAAAATGGCATAAGTTGTGGTAATTTCTACATGGCTCCACTCGAAAATTAGCATACATTTGGCATGGAGATAAAAAAAAAAAAAGTTTTGGGAATTTTTATTTATTGATTCCTTATGAAATCTAAAATTTTCGAAATACTCTTGAAGAGTAATAATTTATCTTTCCAACGGTTATAGTAACGTCGTCTTAGGAGAAAAATCTGAGGAGTTATGACTATTTTAGTAAACGGCATGAAAAAAAAAAAAACCTCCCAATAAATTACGTCAAAAAATATATATATTTTTAATTTCAAAACAAACTCGTATTTAAGAGTTTTAGTGGAAAAAAAATGTTTTTAATTCAAAAGCATGCATCAAGGAAAAAAAATTGTTCAAGCTTTCATTCTAGTAAAACGTTTTGGTGGCTCAATTTATATAATTTTATGAGACAATTATTGAATAAAACTGTGATATTTGATAGCGAAGATTTTATATTCCCGCTAATTCTAATCTCTGAAGAATTTTAATGATAATTTTTCAAGGATTATTTACAAAAGCTCTACTATTAGCGGGATAATAAAGGAAGTGCATCTTGTTCAATCTTGTATTTACTTATTGGATTAATTTCAATTCATGTTATTTGTTTATAACTTTCAGTTCCTTTTAACGTTTAATATACACTACATAATATTTATTAATTTTTTTTTTTTTTTTGGTATTACAGATCTTGTAGATCTCTGCCTATCTTGGGCTATTTCTTTCCAGTTATCTGTATGCAGCTCTATTACATCTTTTTTGATTCTGTCTAACAATCTGATTTTCGGCCTTCCGCGAGGTATTTGACGCATTTCATTGAATTTCTATAAAGTCGAAAAGAATATTCAATTATACCAAACAATATTACTTTTAGAGAAGTACAAATATAACTCAAAATCTGGCGCGGTGTGCGCATGATACAGCTTCCATTTACTCTGAAGTAGAAACCGATATTTTCTGACAAAGTGAAGTGAAAGTGAAAAATTATAAACAGTACAATATATTATTTAAAATCATTTACATATTAATGACCATAATGAGCGTATACGCCGGCAATCGAAATCCACAAACAAGTTTGTTTTTGTTTAAATTTCCTAAAATAATCGAAATATGATTATATCATGTAAGAAATAACTAACAATGGTAAAAATAGGAAAATAAAAATTAAAAAAAAAAACTGTATTATTCCTATGAACAATGGCAGGCGTATTAGCCCGCTAGGATTTTTTTTCTTTTTTTTTTTTTTAATTATCACGATTAAACTAGTTTGAACTAAAAAAAACGCATAATACTTTTTTTACAGTATATTACAACTTTGGAGAAAAAAAAAACTCCACGGAGAAATGTAGTTATATTATTATAGTCTATTTATGCTTTTTTTGTCACTAACCAAATTCTTTTGCGACTGTACATTATAATTATTTATTTAATAATTACAAATAATTAAGTGCAATGACATATTTTTAGTCAGTCACGAGTGCCACAGATAAGGTGGCCGTAATATTTATTTATATTTCGTTGTAGGAATTTTTATTTGTTTGAATACTTGTATACAGAGTGTACCATAAACAGAGGTAAATGTTTATAGGACTGATAGTAGGCATCAAGGGCTACAAAAATTTTTGTATAAACATTGGTCCGATTTTCAGCAGAAAAGTAAGTAATTTAGCTTATTTAAAAGTAAGTAAAGTAATTTAAGTTCTTTGTTCTTCTTTTTAAAAATTAAATTATGTTTTTAGTTGAATGGGGAGCGTTTAGGTATGTATAATCGTAAGTTAAAAACATTTAAAGAGGACATTTGAGCGGTTAAGTAATTAATTTAAAAAAATTAATTATTAATCGCTATTTTTTTTTATCGTCCCTCAACTATACTACAATACACCACTTTTAAAAAAAATTATTTACGGAAATTCTCTGAAATGGGGCGTTTTCAATCTGGAGATCGGTAAACTTTGTCTATTTAATTATGCAATAAAAACTCTTAAATACTAATTTGCTTTCCACTTGAATCGTAAGATCATTTGATCACAAAATCGAGAAAAAGGGTAGCCTACAACCATTTGAATCACAATATATATATATTATATATATATAATATATATATATATATATATATATATATATATATATATATATATATATATATATATATAATATATATACATATTTCAAATTTATATTATTTGAATGTGAATTTAAAAAATGTCATCCCATCTCAGCTCAGTTTAGAAGTTTGAATATTTTTATATAAATATTTAAGTGATTGTAAAATATATAATATTAGATTTTGGCTCAAGATGTAGTAATATTGTGTTATAATAATAACTATAATTATTATTGAAATATTAAGTAGAAAGAAAGAAAGAAAAATTGTTTTCATCTATAAAAAATTTTGGAAATAACTGCGGGATTTAGAGTTATTTTTACCTAAATAACTAGGCGAACTAAAACATTGAAGCTTAGGTTCGAAGTACCTATGAGTGAGGCGGAATCAGCCGCTGTTACGAAGGAGGCCGAGGCAGCCCAAGCTGCGGCTCGTATGGACTGCTATGACAATCCCCCGTGCGCAGGCAACGAAAGAGGAGCATGGGAACTGGTAACAGGAAGAAAACGAAACATTACTGAAAACAG